GGAAGGTTGAGAACCACTGGTTTAGAGGAACAGAAAACAGGGCGGAACTTTAGGGGTGGGGCAGACGGGAACGAGGACAGTCTGAGAGACGCTGGATTAAGCAAAGCAAGACTGGAAGACCCAAGGGAGCAGGGCCTCACTAGAGAATTCCAAGTTCAAGTTCTAAATCAGGCCTGCCGGTGGAGACCCAGGGCGCCGAGCTGGGACTCAACTCCTCACACATGGAGAGGCGAGAAGAATGAAGGAAACCAGAGACCCTGCACCTTCTCCACACGATCTGGGGCTTCTTAGCTCTTTTATTTTGTTTCACTCTATTGAAAACTCCAAAAGGTCAGATGCGAGAAAAACAGGAAGTCAGAAACAAAGGGCTGGAGGAGCTGCTGGAAGGCGGCTGAGAAGTCCCATGATCTTTCTCGAGGGAGCTGTTTTCAAGAAGTTTAACAGTGACTTCTTGGGAACCCAAATATGACAGGCTTGATATAGGAGAAATAAGAAGGAGCATTTATACAAAGGCAAGTCCCAGCCTGTTGGTTTCTGGACAAGGGAGGCAAGTCAAACCTTATTTCCTGCAGCACAATGACAGAAGTCGGGGTTCCAGGCCTAGAAATCTACTTTCCACCATGAAATGCCTATCGTCACTAAACATGCAGACAGAGGCTTATGCAAGCATGTGTGAAATATGCAAAATATGTCCCGCTGGGAATTTCTCCCCATGGGCCCTAACTGGCTAAAACTATTATCTCAATCTGATAAAGTATGGACTAAAGGCACCATTTTCATTCTTTTTTTTGTGATTAATCACAAAAATATGTCATTATATATGTTTTCCGATGGTCTTAGGCGACCCGTGTGAAAGGGTCATTCGACCCCCAAAGGGTCGCGCCCCACAGGTTGAGAACCGCTGCCCTAGAGACTCGGACCCAGGAGCCGCTCGGAGCAGCGCCTCTCCTGTTGGTGGGGCGCCTGCCCGCTGCGCCCCTCCCGGCGGGGCCCCGTGTGTCGTTCCCAGGATTAAACCACACAGCGCACATTCTTCTGTGGCAGGTGCAGCCACGCCCGCGCGCGCGCTCCGGCCGACGTGCGCCAGGTGGGGCCTCCGGGTCCGGCTCGCCCTGCCCGCGGGCGTGGGGATGGCACTTGTCATCAGAAGCTCGGGGAACAGCCCGCGGTCCAGCCACCCCTCGCCGTCCCGCCCGCACGGTGATGCAGACGTGAAAGTACGTGCCTGTTTCTGTCCCCTTTTTAAAAAAAGAACATGGGAATCCTGGGCGCGTTTGAGCTCCGTCGCTTGACAGCTGTGACCAGCCCAGGGCACCTGGATCGCAGCCGAGCCTGCTCACCGGGCGGGAGGGCGCACAGGTCCCAGGCTCTTCTCGCTCGGAGCTCGGGGTGACTCAGCTTCCTGCGGGGGGGCGGCTCCTGGCCCCCTGGGCGGCAGCCCCCCCCCCCCCCGTTTCTTTACACCCCCGATGGCTGCTCTGTCCCACCCACTTCTCACTCAGCGGTCACACTGTTCTTACTGCTCGGGACGAGCCTGGGGACACTGGCCTTCAGCGGCCGCCCTCCTCTTCGGGGGCACCATTTTCATTCTTGATAAATCTGTAGCAGGCGCCATAGCTGCAGGACTCTCCCAACCACCTTCAAACGGGGCCTCCAGCTTCTCGGTTTCACCAATTCAGGCCTCCAGAGACGGAGGATCAGTGGCTGCAGGGGCAGCTCCCCGGGCTCCGCTGAGCTGGCCCTCACCCCCAGCTCAGAGCTCCCGGCCCAGCTCGCAGATGCCATGGGCAGTAGACCGTGGTCAGGTGGTGGCACCATGGAGTCGAGCCTTCCCTGTGTGATTAGGTTTAAGTTCCCGTCCTAACAGGCACCTGCTTCACCCCCAGGCAACATCCCTGGGCGTCGCTGATAAATCTTTATTCTCATTATTTGCATTCACTCCGGTCCTTTGAATGGAGCCACCTGCCAGACTGAATGTTTGTGCCCGCCCCCTCCCCGCCCCCACATGTTGAAACCTGATCTCCATCGTGATATTGGGTGGAGTCTTAGGAGATGATTAGGTCATGAGGGTGGAGCCCTCAGGAACGGGCTTGTTATAAAAAGGCCCCAGAAAGCTAGCTCCCTTGCCCTTCACCACGAGGACACAGAGGTGTCATCGCTGAACCAGGAAGTGGACTGCACCAGACTCGGAGTCTGCAGGCACCTGTGCTGGGACACCAGCCTCCAGAACTGTGAGGAATAAGCTTCTATGGCATTTCTGTTACAGCGGCTGTAGGGACCAAGACGCCGCCTCTCCTGCCTGTCCCACATCCTGTCCCTTCAGACTGTTCTTTTCCATTTGCTCCTTCAGCTCTTGCACAGCAGATGTGGGGTGTGGGCAGGACCTCCAGTCCACTCTAGCAGAGGGACTACTCCCTGAGGGTCCCTTCAGAAGCTTATCTCCAGGCCTGTGTCTCGGGGCCTCTCCCCAGGGCCCTCAATGGCCACCACTCACTTCACTGCTGAATGCCACCTGGCTCTCCTGGCTGGGGGACCGACAGGATTCTAGCTTCAGCATCCTGTCTCGTCTGGCTTCCAGCACTGGTTCCTGGGCACTTCACTGTGTGAAGGGCTGTTTTGTCCCGTATTGGAACAATTATATACAGAGGGCAGACTATTTTAGATGCCGATTGGGAAAAGTTCTACTGATTTAAAATGTAGTGAAAGGATTTTTTCAAAAATGGTGGGGAGGGTAAGGCAAGTTTTTTGTAGGTCAGTTTGGCAAAATGCAATAAAATCACTAAAAGGGATTCTCCCCTTGACATAATAATTGCACTGTTACATAGTTAGCACTTACCTTGACTATCGATTATAATTGTGAAAAATGAAAACTATTTGTCCAATAATAGTGTAATGGGTAAATCTGTGACGTGACCTACCATACAGCCATTGACTATGTTTTTGAAGAATATTAAACAGCTTTGAAAAATGTGTCTAATATTCAGTAAGAAAAGCATTGTGCTTAATGGTATTATTTACAAATACTGAATATTGGTTGGTTAAAAGTGGTTCTACCGTATGTGATGGGAAAAAGGTTGTTTTTATATATTTTCCTTTTAAATATTTTTCAAAGTTTCAAAAAAAATCAACGTGTATTAGTGTTGTCAGGAAAAAAAAATACTGTAGTTGTTCTAAAATGATGTGATTTCATCACCAGGTGGCATCTCGTCTTAGCCCAGGAACGTGCTCCCGGAGCAGGCAGGGACTCTGGTGTCCTCGCCCGCTCAGCCAGGAGCAGCAGAGCTGCCAGAACACCAGCGCCTGCCCCAACTCCAGTTCTGAGGTAACTGGCTTGCGGCCCAGTGATGGTCATCCTTACAGCTCCCTTCTGGTCCTAGGGGTCGCCAGGACCCTCAGCTTCTGCCTCTTCCTTCAAGCCCCAATAACAGCCTTGCCCCTCGCCCCAGGCAAGGGGTCTGAGAAACCTGTGACTTCAGGGGCTTGTGGTGCACGCTGATGTCTGAGGCACTCAGAGCTGCCTGGAGAGCCTGTCCTGGCGACGAGTCCCCTCACATTTCTTGGAGGTGGTGGGGTGGGAGAGGGTGGGAGTTTGCCGCAGGTTTCTATGGAATTCCAGAAGGGAGAGCATGAGCTTGTGAAGAAACTGGGAGGGAGAGGGGAGAGCTGGACACTCACTGATGTGACTTCCCTCAGGTTCCCAGGAGGGTGGCCCTGCTGAGAACAAGAGAAGATGAGCCTCCCCAGACCCAGGCGGGGCGACCAGCTGCTGTTCCTGGGCATCATGGTCCTCGTGGTCCTGGCCGTCTTCCTGCTGTTCTACGCGCTCCTCTGGAAGGCGGGTGACCTCATCAACCTGCCCAACCTGAGAATCGGCTTCTACAACTTCTGCCTGTGGAACGAGAGCGCGGGCTCCCTGCAGTGCCACCAGTTCCCTGAGCTGGAGGCCCTGGGGCTGCCTCAGGGCGCCCTGGCCCTGGCCAGGCTCGGCGTATACGGGGCCCTGGTGCTCACCCTCTTTGTACCAATGCCTCTGCTCCTGGCCCGCTGCAACAGGAGCGAGGGCGAGTGGCATCTGGCCGTGTGCTTCCTGGCGATGGCCTCCATGCTGCTGGCCGGGGGCCTGGGCCTCTTCCTCACCTACACCTGGAAGTGGGTCACGCCCTCCCTCCTGGGGCCTGGATTCCTAGCTCTGGCCACTGCCCAGGCCTTGCTCGTCCTCTTGCTGATGGCCACAGTCATGTTCCCCCAAAGGGCAGATGACAAGAGCAAGCTGGAGAGCTGCTAGCCCTGTCCAGAGGCTCCCAGGCTGCTTGAAGGAGGCTCAGACAGGCGCCAGAGGCCCCGTGGGCTGTTTTCACAGCCACCCTGTTTCATAGCTAATACTGATCTCAAGCTTGAGCAGATGGGCCCCACTGAGGAAGGGGCACCCGGCATAAAGGAGGCCGGGGCTGTGAGGGTGACTGGGCCCTGGGCTTCTTAGTGTTGGCTTGTCTGTCCTCTGGGACTGCTACCACCACGTAGCTCCTTGTCATGAGAATTCCTGCTTTAACTGACCGATCTGAGCAAACCATCTTACTTCATTCTCAGGATGGTGGCCAGAGAAGGGTTCCTGTCCCAGGGCCAGATTTCCAGGATGATTGGCCAAAGGCCAAACTGAGACCCAGGGAAGGTTCATGGCGACAAATGGGGAACACTGAGAGCACCTGGGGGCCCTGGTTAGCAAGCTTCCCCCGTTCTCACCCCTCCCCATGACACCACTCCCAAAGGCACAGGGGAGATCTCAGAGGGAGTCCCTCAAGTTCCCCTGGGCTGCTGGACTCCAAGCCGGACAGCAGGGGAGTGAGTTGGCACGCCATTCCTAACATGGGACCTGGGAGTCCGGGAGCACAGCATGCCGAATCCTGGGGGGGCGGGGAGGGTGAACAGGACTGAATGGTTCCACAAACTCTGCGTCCCTTCACTGCTCAAGCTAGACCTAGAAAGGATACAAGCACCACTTGTGCAGGGGGAATTGTACTTTTCAAGCACTGTATATTGAAAAACTGTGTAACAATGGTTGCCTGACTCTGCCTGCCAAAAGCCACACTGACTACAGAGGCAATGTGGACTCGGCCCTGACCTCCTGTCCTTAGCGTCCACTTTGGGAGCCTGTCCCACTCGCACTTTCAGAGTGGCCAGGGATCAAGGCCAAGGCCGCCAAGTAGAAGGAAGGGGGCAGCTCAGGAGAGGCCGCCTGTCTGATGGGTAGAAGGCTTGGACCAAAGGTACCCCGGGAGCGCTAAGCTCCCAGACAGAGCAGAGCACTGTGGGCAAAACGTCTTCAGGGCTAAGAGGGCGGCTCAGGGATTGCCTGGCTGCCTGTGAGGGTGCTGCCTAAACTGGACAATTCTGGTGTATTTAGCAGCCATACTTTTTTCTGTTTGAAAGTTATTAAATTGATTCCTTGGTGCCAATAAGTCTGACACTGTGACCTCATTTCCCTGGAGCCTGGTCACTGAATACACAGACATGGGGACTGCAGACCCCTGTGCCGGGGAGGACGATGCAGAGAGGAATTCTGACGGCAGCTCATTCGGATCCCTCACTTCCCAAGGCCGAGTGTCAGGGCTTCTGGCTCCACCCAACGGCATGGAGCTGGGCGCAGTCCCCAGGCAGAGCCAAAGCCCAGCGTCCGGTAGCTGTTCCGGCCGTAGCGTCCTGGGAACCTGTCCCTTAGCTGAAGAATATCTCCCTGACGTACTTGAACGCATCCTCATCTTCCTCAGGGCTGCTGCTGCAGGCAGGCTCCAAGCCTGCAGACCCCTGCGGCCGCCCCAGGCCTGGGGGGAGGGCGGCTTCCCCACTGTCCTCACCCTCACTTCTCTCGGGAGAAGCCGGCCGCTCCGAGCAGCTGGGGGACAGCTCTGGCTCAGCGGTGCCTGCCAGGGGCCGCTGCCCCAAGGCCTTTTCCTGTTGTCGGTTCTGTGAAGAAAGACCAGACGAAACCTGTCAGTGGTGGAGACCATGTCCAGAAGCAACTGGGAAGCCAGCACTGACCGGGTCGGGCACCGCTCCCAAATCAGTGGCCGCTCCACCTCCTTCACCCCACTGCTGCCCACCCTCCACCTCTCGGAGCTCTGGGAGAAACCAAGACCAACTCGGAGAGAAGTGGGCAGAGGCCTGAGGAACACCCAAGTAGAAAAGAAAATAAATACATCGAAAAAACTTGTCTGGGAAGGCAGGTGACAATGGAAGGAGCACGGGATACAAAACGAGTGTGGGCCTACACTCGGTCACTTACAGGCTATGCAACTTAGGGACTAAGTCCCTGCCTCTCAATTTCTTCATCTGTCAAACGGGAATAACAGTGTCTGAAATAACATATCACTAGATTACTGCAAAGATTAAATGAGATAGTGATATATAAAAATACCTGGTCAGCCCTAGCTGGTTGCTCAATGGTCAGACCACTGGCCCACAGACTGAAGGGTCTCGGATTTGAGTCCAGTCAAGGGCACGTACTGAGGTTGCAGGCTTGACTCTGGCCCTGGTCAGGGCATATGGAAGAGGCAACCAATCACTGTGTCTCTCTCACATTGATGTTTCTCTGTCTCTCCCCCTCTTCCACTCTCTCTAAAATCAATGGGGGGAAATATCCTCGAGTGAGGATTAACAAAAAAATAAAAATGCCTGGTCTATCATACAGAACCACCCAGCTCTACGGTGGTATGATTATTAGCTTCAGGAAGACAGGAGACCTCAGTGCTGTTCTGCCAGGTGCAGAGGCCAGGAGTCAACTTGCCCACCTGAGAAAACTAGCAGGTCAAGACTTCCTGTTCCCTCTGCCTCACCCCACACAGTCACCCACACAGGGCTGCTCTCCCTGCCCAGCCACCCCTCCCCAGGCATCCGGCCCCAAGCACGTGGCTGGTGCACAGCTCACAGCGATGGAGCATGGCCTGAGAGATTCATGAGACAAGGGGCAAGTGGAAGGAGGGCGGACACGCAAGAGGGCTCCCCATGGCTGTTTCAGTCGGTAAAGAGTCTGTGGTTAAAAGAGCAAGAACAGCCAACGGTTGTGGCTCAGTTGGTTGAGTTTCATCCCATGCACTGAAAGGTGGCTGGTTTGATTCCCCGCCAGGGGACATGCCCGGGTTGCAGGCTCAGTTCCCAGTAGGGGGTGTACAGGAGGCAGCCGATTAATGTTTCTCATCAATGTTTCTATCTCTCCCTCTTCCCTCCTCTGAAATAAAAACATATTTTTTTAAAAAGACACAGCTGACTTTACCTCAATCAGGACCCCCAGAGCAACATCGACAAGTTCGGCTTCACTCATGCAGTACACAGTCTTCACTGCGGGGAGTCTGAAAGAAAGGCACGATGCTACAGATGGGGCAGACGGCTCCCCAATCTCAGGGAGGAAGGAGAGCTGCATCACTGGGCCTTCCGCCGGGGATGAGAGCACCAGCTTCCTCAGGGCATCAACCGGCTTCTTCATTCTTGGGACCAGTGACTGGCAGAGGGGGTTCTTGGAGGCAACAGTGGGGGCTTCCCAACTCTGCCAACGCCCCCAGGGATTTACAAATAAGGCTTGATGGCTACTCCTGAGAGCCGAACAGACACACACATACCTGTGAGCTGGTCACACGGACCACCAGGCCAAGACCCACCTGACACCTAACTGAACACATGAACACAGTACAGAAAGGCTGTGCCAGTCAGAGAGGAGGCTGGTCAGGCAAGAAACCTTATAAAAGGAAGGGCAGAGGGGCAGCACTGAGCACCCGGGACCCCGTCAAGAGAATTCAGGGACCTCTGCTCCCTGGCGGCCTCGAGACCCCACAGTTGGCATCATCCCACTGGCTCCCCCACAGCCTCTGATCCGGGCTGACACAGGGGCTTGATGCTCCTGTCCCAGGAGGTCTGCCCACCGGAAGGCTGATGACCTGGCCCTCTCATCTTGCTCACCTGATGGTCACACTTATTGTTGCAAATGAAGAGAAGGGCGTTTTAGCCACCTGGTGTTTGACAGCTTGGCTGATGTGTGCGACCGGAGAAGGGGGGCCACTATCCGGGAGTTGCAGATTCACCAAGAGGCAGAGGCGTCTGCCTGGGCGGACACAGCTCACTCAGCCTCCTGCACGCAGCCCGTGCACGTCCTAAGAGCTGGAGACGGACTGAAACCCCGCCCGCCTCACGGATCTGCCGACACTGCGATGACCCTGGCTCCAAGGTGTCCCACCTGGCTGCAGCCGCCGGCACCGCGGCCGTCCTCCTCCTCTTCCTCTTCGGGGTCTTCACCGGCCACATTCTCTTCTCAGGCCCCGGGGCTGCCATCCAGGAGGGAAGGACCCTCTTCTTAGCCCCCGAATGTAAGGCTGCCATCCCTCCCGTCGCTGATGAAGAGTCAGGGCCCTCCCTGACGGACTCGCTTTTCTGATCCAGGACAGCAAACCCCGCCTTCTCACCACACCAGGAATTAACTGTAGGCCTGTTGGTCCTCCAATGGGAGTCCAGCTTTGATTCCTACAAAGAACAAAGCCCAGTGAATCCTAATACGCTCACAGGCGGCGGATGGTGAGCAGGGCCCGCGACTCAGGCCGCTCACGGGCAGCCAGGTAGGTGTGGTGGGCAGGCTGCTGGGAGGGGAGGTGCGTGCGGCCTCCGCCCCGTCCCCACACCCCACACCCCACACCCCACACCAGCAGGCCCAACAGAAATGCCCCGGCAGCCTCGGCTCTGAGCCGATGAACACGAAGAGGGATGAACACCCGCCCAGGAGGAAGGAAGACAGGAGGTGCCCCCCTCCATGCCGCCCCAGGTGCCCCGTCTATCCTCCCCCTAAAGTATCTCCCAATGACCTCTCTGGGCTTCTCACTCCCTCCGTCTTGGGGTGCTTACAAGAAACCCTGAGGCCATTTGACTCACAATAAGGTTTCCTCGGCCAACAACCCCTCCCTCCATCCAAAGGTTCTTCTGACCGTGTGACCAGCGGGGCTCAGGGACGACAGGCCGGCCTCGGACGGGGGTCCCGAAGGGCCACCAGCCCTCCGCTCACTCGGCCTCCGAGACTCGATTCCACCGCAGCCCCAAGGCCCCCCATCGCACCCCCCCCAACTCCCGTGACCCGCAGGCGCAGGCGGCTGCCTTCCCCTGCGCAGTGGGCTCTGAAGCAGCTCGGCTCCGCCAGGGAGGGGCGCCCCCCACCCAGGAAGGGGGGCGGCTGAGGAGGGCAGTCGGCGCCCAGAGAGGAGATTCCTTCGTTTACTGCTCAATTGGAAGGGCTGTTCACAACTTAATGCAAAGGCAGGACATCGTCCTAACCCGGCGGTTCCCAACCGTGGCTGCACATCCGAACCACCTGGGAATCTTTTTGAAATCCTGATTTCTGGGCCTCATCCTCCGGAAATTGTCTCTTTGTGATGGGGTGAGGTCACATTAGTAACAAAGAAACAGAATTTCCGGAGGATGAGGCCCAGAAATCAGGATTTCAAAAAGATTCCCAGGTGATTCTAATGTGCAGCCACGGTTGGGAACCACTGTCCTAACCGGTGCGGTGCCGGGAGGGCAGCCCTTTGCCAAGGACTCATTTCTGTCAAAATTCGGGCCGGGATGGGTCACTCCCCGCCGTAGGCGCCGCCAGCGCCAGGCACTGGTCCGCCCGCGGCAGAGGTCGGTGAGCCCGTTTCTCAGACGGGAACTGAGCCCAGCAGGTTCCGCAAAGTCACACGGAACCTGGAAACCGCACCGGGATTCACAGCCGAGTCCTGCGGCTCCGGGCCCCGCGCACAGAGGCCGCGCTCCGCGGGGAAGGCCGGGCGCCCCGCGAGCACCCACTCCAGCCGGCCCCGCTCCCCGCCCCGCTCCCGGGGACACTGCGCTGCCCTGGCGGCGACCAGACGCGCCAACCTGGAGGGGCAGAGGCCGGGGACACAGGGGCATCCACGCGGGCCTCGCTGGCGACGGGAGCCGCCCCTGCGGCCCCAGAGCTGCCGGCCGGGTCTCCGCCAGCGGCCAGGCCGAGCCAGTCCCGACGGCGCGCGGCTCCCGCGCGGGGTCCCGCCTCCCGGGCTCGTGCCCCCTTCTCGGCTTCCGGGGCGGGCTCGGCAGGCGGATTCGGTTGCTCGTGGGGCCCGCCCCCGGCCCCCGGCCCCCGGCCCCCGGCCCCCGGCCCCCGGCCCCCGGCCCCCGGCCGCACGCACCTCCCGTCCCCGGCTGCCGCAGCGCCCGCGCGCTCTCCGCACTTCCGGTTTCCCGCGGCCCGCGCTGAAGCTCGGGCGCGCCCCCTGCAGGCAGCTCGCGGTGTCCGCGCCCCCGGCCGGCGGGTGTGTGAAGCCGACCCCGCTGTCCTGGGTCCTGACAGCGCCTCCCTGCCCAAACCCAATCCGGCTCCTCTGAACTCTTCTCCGCTAGGCCCCGACTTGGGGCTTCTGTGTTCATCTCCACATTGTCCGGTTTAGCAAGAATCCTGCGAAGTTGGTTTAGCCAGAGGCCCCTACCCTCGATATCTGATCACCAGGGCCTAGACTCCGATGAGGTTCCTGATCCTGCACGACCCACCCTGGGTGGTGTCTGATCACCCGGATTGCCCTGGGCAAGAGTCCTGTTAGGTCAGTTTAGGTCGGTTGAGCCAGAATCCACCCTTACCTTCTCCTAGAAACTTCCCATCCACTGACCCCCGACCTGCTCCTTGGCTACAAATTCCCACTTTTCCCTATGGCATTGGGAGTTGAGCCCAATCTCTCCCCCACTACAGAACCCCACTGTAGTAGCCCCCCTTGAAAAGTTTGCCTTACTGTTCCTTAACAAGTGTCAATTTTTTTTTTGTTTAACAGAATGTTTTAACAGTCCCCAAATGTGGCTCCATTTGAGTTTTGCTGGTTGGTCTTTGTTCAAGTGTGGATTCCCAAGCCCCCTGAATCAGAAATTAGGGGGAGGGAAATGTGATTTACCACAAATCAGCTAATCTATATATATAAAAGGCTCAGTGTTTGTCCAACCGGTAGCTATGATGCACGCTGACCACCAGGGGGCAGATGCTCAACACAGGAGCTGCCATGGCACGCACTGGCCATTTACAAAGAAACAGCACCGCAGACCTGGCGCCCACAAACCAACACTCGACTTCCTCCAAGTGGGACACAGGCCCTGCCACCACCCCGGAGTGACACCCCACCAAATCACAGCCAATGCTTCCAAGACCCCATGGCGCAAAATGCAGCCCCCAGCCCAGCCCGGAAATGGTCGCTGTGGGCGCCGGGTAATGATGTCACGTAGCAACACCCGGCTTCCTCTCCCTAGCGACTAGCCTCCTTGGAGTTTCTTCAGCCCAGGAACACGACTTGCTTTATAGCCAGGTGCAAACATTTTACAGTTTAACCAAATGTCTGTGAAGCGTTTTTCCGTGCCTCATCTCATTTGATCCTCACAGAAGTCCTGGAGTAGGTAGGTAGGTAGGAGACTCGGTAGAATCCTATTTTCTTTTCATTAGCAAGACACAAATAGCGATATTAAAATATTCCTTCTAATTAATTTCCTTTCAATGTGCATGAATCTGTGCACTGGAACACTAGTAATAGAATAACACTCTCCATATACTAGAGATGCACGATAGGGGAGCTTGATCCAAAGTTTGGAGACGGGACTCTGGAGCTAGGAGTGCTCCCCTCCACCTGTGCTTTTCTCCAACGCACTTTCACCTCCTGAATATTCATTTCAATCCTGGGGAAGTAGGCTGGGAACATTTAAATCAATCAAGGCTTAAGGAGATAAATCAGGTCACAAGAACCACCTGTGGAGCATTGGCTAAACCTGGGCTCCGCCTCCCGCCTCTGGAGAGCATCCCACAGGGGCAGGGACTGCTTTTCCAGTTCCCAGGAAGGTGCGCCGAGAGCCACTGACCTCTCCCCTCTTCTGCGCTCACAAGCTGTGAGCCAGGACAAACCCAACTCTAATTGGTGGAGGAGACGTCTTGTTTTGTTTCGCTATTAGAACTACTCCTTCCATATTTATCTCCTTAAAACCTCTTCCCACAGCCAGCTGAAAAATGAGGTCTGAGGAGCAGGAAACCTGTGTGTCTGCACAAAAAGCTTCCTGTTTGAAAGGTGAGAAGCTCAAGTAGGAGAAACCTGAGCTGGGGGACTGGATGCTTTGGAGTCAATTCCTGCCGTGTTCTGAATGCCCCGCTCAGGGAGCCCATGGCCTGGCAGCAGCAGTGGGCAGGTCCCAGAACACAGAGGGAAATGAACCTAGACGGCTCTCACCAGTGTCAGGCCCTACACCTGCGTCAGGCATGCAGCCTCGGGGGCCGAGGCGGGACTAGCTTGCTGGTTTCTTCTAGCTGCCTGCGCCCAAGATAATGGAAGTCTTGCTGGGGTCTTGGGTAGATGCTGAGCAGGTATTGTGAAGGAAAGGGAAGTCTACCTTTGAATCCTGGAGGGGAGTGGGTGAGACAAGGAGCACCCCAGGATGAGACAATCAGGCTAATAAGCACTCAGGATGGAGTGACGTCCGGAGAAACAGGCCAGGAGGGGCAGGGTTGCCCACAACACACAGTACTGCATTTACTAATTTCTACAGGTCAGAGGTTAGTGGTGTTTGGGTTCTGTTGTTAGGCAAGGTTGTGGTCTGGTTTTGGTGGAACCCTCTAACATCCCTCCTGTGAGGCCTCAAGCTCAAAGTAAAGGGGGAGGTGGGTGTCCAGCCCACAGAAAGGAAATGAGAGAAGAGACAACGTTTAAGTGTCCCTTGTTTCTCCAAAATCCTTAAACACGTTTCAGCGAGCTGTGGAGTCCGTATTGAGAAGGGAGAATGGGTAATAAGACAGAAAAACGTTTGAAGAAAAGTTAAACAATGCACTCTCACTCAAATGAAACACGACTTTTTAAATGACCTAAAGCAGTGGTCGGCAAACTCATTAGTCAACAGAGCCAAATATCAACAGTACAACAATTGAAATTTCTTTTGAGAGCCAAATTTTTTAAACTTAAACTATATAGGTAGGTACACTGTTATTAACTTAATTAGGGTACTCCTAAGGCTTAGGAAGAGCCACACTCAAGGGGCCAAAGAGCCGCATGTGGCTCGAGAGCCGCAGTTTGCCGACCACTGACCTAAAAAGCAAGCATGTCAAACTCAAAGGCTAACACGGACCAAATAAATGAGGCATGCGGCCCTCGGGCCGAGAGTTTGACATGCTTGACCTGAAGAATCACTGTGGGAGATAAATAAGATTGCTGTTTCAATGCAGAAGATGGGAAAAATTACACATGGAAAAGTTTTGGTTTTCTTCATTTGAAGGAAGGCTTACTAGGACAGAAATCAGTAAAAAGGTGTAACTACTTATTACCAAGTCTCTGGTGTTTTCTCAGAATTGAGCCACATACCTCCCTACTTTCCCCCAAACTCCCAGCAGAATGGAGCCAAGGCTTTCATACCAATTTACTCATGGTTTTCCAAAAGCAGGAAACTGGGAGTACCCCTACTCCAGACCAGCACCCCATGACTGGGTTGGAGCCCAAAGTGGCTCTACAGTGACCACTCCTAGCAGCTTGGCAACAAGGCTGCCCGTCAAGAAATCCCACCACGAGGCTGATCAGCTGACCATGCCTCCCTGCAGATAGAAATGGAAGTGGGAGAAGGGAGCCCTTCTCTCGTTCTTCCTCACCTGTGAGAACTCTGGACTCTTCAAGGTCCCACCCTTGAGCAGGGAGCAGAAGGCAGGACACAGGCGGGGCTGTGGACACAGTGGGGATGAACCTGGCCAACTTGATCCAGTCCTCTCGCCAGCAGGGGGCGCCGGCGGCTGGCTCCAGTCAACCTCAAGGATATGAAGCTAAATGAGGACTAATGACAGGTGCTGGGAAACCACAGCCATCAGGAGCGGAAGCCTCAGACTCTGCCATTGTCCATAGACGCTGCTGGAACAGAAGCCGCCAACTCTCAGGGAGACAGGAATACTGTGGATTCCTTGTCTGTGGCCCAAAGAAATAGGAACAGCACAAACCTTAGCTAGTGGAACAGAAGAGAGGACATCTTCCTACAGCGAAGCAACAAGCAAACATCACACAGGCTCAGCTCCACAGCCGGGAGGCAGAGCTGGGGTGGGAGACCTGTTGCGGGGCAAAGGTGAAGGGAGGCGCCCTGCTGCACACACACACTCCAGAAACGGACACCAGGTAACCCAAGAGCATTCTTTTTTAAAAAAGAAACTGAGCAAATGTATACAAAATACTGTCGATCTCTCCTGGGCAACAGGGCCGCCATCGCAATGCTTCACCTGCAGTGTTTTGAATGCCTGAGCCTTCTCCTGCCGTCTGGGTGCTTCTGGCCCCACCCGGCAAGCCGGTCTCCGGGGCACACGTGCCACTCCTCCATGTGGCTCCTGCTCCAGTCACCAGGCTGCACAGTGTCCGTCCGAGCCCCCAGAGAACCTTTCCCTGAAGATTCCCTGCCCTGGCAGGGAGCCGGAAATGGAGCGTCCCGTCTTCCTGTCTCCTGTCTCCCCTCCCCCGGGGATGATACGGCTTCCGTGGAAGTTCCTCGGGCGGGTGCCCTCAGGCTTTATGGGCCAGGAGGGTGGTCAGCTTGATCTTGCCATCCATGGAGGCAGTGAGGCAGGTCCCGCAGTCCATCGCCGTGCTCCAGTCCACTGTGACCACGGGCGCTCGGTGGCCACCCAGGCTCAAGCAGCTCTCCAGAACCTTCTCGTCCCCGCCCAGCTGTAAGAGGACAGGGGAGAAGAGGAGGTGTGAGCGGACGCTGTGCACAAATACATCCATGTTCTCTACCAACCACCTCGAGCCTGGGGCTGCCACGCCCACCCTTCCTGTTTAATTTGTTAGACAAGAAAATACCTTCATTGTTCTGACTACAGTTATTCCTTCATCTGAAGTGAAAAACAAGTCCCTGAAGCACTCGAAAAGGCAGGGAATTTTCTCTGCTGCCTTTAACTTGCTGGGGGCCAGTGCCCCTGCACCGCCCAGGCTGCTCTCTCCCAGCATCATCCCTGCTCCCCCAGGGATCCCGCTGTAGGAGGGTGGGTCGTGGTCAGCTCCTGCAGTACCCGATCGAGCTGGCACCATCGGGCCCTCATCAATGTACAAGCTCGGCTCCCCCTGACCCCACAGCACCAGCCAGGACGAGTGCAGGTGTGAGGAGTTAGAGGCAGTAAGGAAGGGAAACCAGGGCCAGCTGAATAATGATCAGTGCGGCCACAGATACCACCCGTGAGCAAGAAGTATACGACCTTCGTGGAGAAAACATTTTTTTTTATTGATTTCAGAGAAGAAGGAAGAGGAAGAGAGATAAAAACGTCAATGATGAGAGAGAATCATTGATCGGCTGCCTCCTGCACGTCCCCTACTGGGGATGGAGCCCGCACCTGGGCATGTGCCCTTGACCAGAATCGAACCTGGGATCCTTCAATCCACAGGCCGACACTCTATCTACTGAGCCAAACCAGCTAGGGAGAGAAAACATCTTTAAAAGTCACGAATTGCCGTGGCCGGTTTGGCTCAGTGGATAGAGCGTCAGCCTGCGGACTGAAGGGTCCCGGGTTTGATTCCGGTCAAGGGCATGTACCTGGGTTGCGGGCACATCCCCAGTAGGAGGTGTGCAGGAGGCAGCTGATCGATGTTTCTCTCTCATTGATGTTTCTAGCTCTCTATTTCTCTCCCTTCCTCTCTGTAAAAACTCAAACAAATATATATTTTAAAAAAAAGGTCACGAATTGCTTACAGATTGTAAAAATGGGATCTGAAGTTCATTATATTCCTTAAGTAATTAGACCCCATTGGTATTTTAAAAATTATATAGAGGAAAATCTTTTAACTCATCAATTGGTTATAGAGCAAATCTGACTGCAAAGCATATAAACTGATCAGGACAAATGACAAAGGCACATGATTTAAAATAAAATACATATACATACACATAGCATACATACAACAAATAAAAATCATAGAGAGAGCAGAGAATGGCCTACCTGAAACTCAAT